ATAGTGCTGATGATGAAGACGCCATGTTGTTATCTACCAGTGTTAATAATAATAATAACAACATCAACATCAACAACAATAATAAAAATAATAACAATAATAGTGTTGTTGCGAGTTATAGCAATAGCAACAATAGTAAAACGATTGGTAACAGTACTATCATCGTTATTAGCAACAGCAATAACAGCAGTAATAGTAGTAGTAGTAGTAGTAATAATAATAATAATAACATTAATAATAATAATAGTTTGGTTGGAGGGGGTAAAAGGCAGAAAACGGTTGAGGGGGTAGGGGCTGACCACCAGAACAGGGCCGGTAGCGGCCTCGATGTCTTCACTAGAGCCGATTTTGAAATCGTCGCTGGCTTTGATTACTTGAACAACACTAACAATAACAACAACAATAACAACAACAACAATAAAAATAATAATACTAATATCAATAATAATAATATTAATAATAACGCAAATAAAAATGTTATTATTGATATGCCGATATCAACAGAGAATGGGTGAGTGAGTGTATTTATCGTTTCCAAAAAGTAATGATGATGATGATGATGGTGATGATAATGATGATGGTGGTGATGATGATGATGAAGATGATGATGATGATGGAGATGATGGTGGTGATGAGGATGAGGATGATGATGATGGTGATGGTGGAGATGATGGTGGTGATGATGATGGTGATGGTGGAGATGATGGTGGTGATGATGATAATGATGATGGTGATGATGAAGATGATGGTGGTGATGAGGATGATGAAGATGATGAAGATGATGATGATGGTGGAGATGATGGTGGTGACGAGGATGATGAGGATGTAAATGATGAAGATGATGGTAATGATGATGGTGATGATGAAGATGATGGTGATGATGAAGATGATGATGATGGTGGTGATGAGAATGATGAGGACGTAAATGATGACGCGTTCAATCGAAACGTCACATTTCAGATACGACCCAATTGAGACAGATGTCGCTAAAACGCTCGTCTGTCTAAGCAGCACTCCGCAACACCAACAACAACATCAACAACAACATCAACAACAACATCAACATCAACAACAACAACAACAAACCCAAATAAAATATTCATCATCGTCATCACCGTCATTATTAGCGATCGCTTCATTACCGTTTCCAACATCATCACCATCTGTGATTCCACCACCTCCACCACCATCATCATCTTCTTCTTCATCATCGTCGTCGTCATCATCATCATCATTATCAGTACTTCAACATAGCGCGGATAGTATAATTAAAAATAACTCGCTATCACTACTAGCATCATCTTCATCGT